GGCCGACGCCCCATCGGCTCAGGGCGTCGGCGGTGTCACCATGGGGCGCTGGTTGCCTCTGGCCTACCGCCGCGTCCCGCACGCAAGCCCGCTCGGCCGTCGGCACCTGGGCCAGTGAGGGGTGCATCCAGGGCTGGCTGTACATGTCGGAAAGCTGCGTGTCTGTCGGGTGGCCCCCAGTGGGGCCGCGCGGGCGCCCTGGCGGCGCGCCGAGCCTCTCGGGTGTCTGCATGGATGGGTGGTGCGCGCCCCTGTGCCGCGGTCGCTGTGGCCATGTGCGTTCAGCGGGTTGGCGCGCCTCATGCCCTGCTATGATCGCTCGCGTGCTGTGCATGGGTCCCCGCTTTTGCGCGCGGTGCCGGGCTCCCCCCCTCTGCCCAGCGCGACAATGAGGTTGGGGGCAGGTTTGCAGTGTGATGGCTTGGCTGATGGCGGTTTCTCGGGGTTATGAGGGTTACGGCTGTGCCTTGCACCTGTTTTCCTGCCAGAGCCTTGCACCCTGCGACTGGACACGTGGTCTACCCCTGATGTTCTGTACAAGTGCGATGCTCAAATGCAGTGCACACACCTATGGGGCCGTGCTGTGGTTTTCACACTGGGGCTGTCGTGTCGCCATTGCTGATCAGCATGAAAAGATGCATTACATATCCTACATGGTCCCACAAGCGCTGTCAGGTTGCAAGCAATGGTGCATGGTGCCGTGTCGCTTGATGTCTTGACTGCGCCGGCGCCCCACAGGCGGTGTCACTCGGATGACAATGATAAGCCTCGATCGATATGCCCGCCTTGATTTGTCGATAACTGCAGGTTTAAGCGAGCAATTGCCGCAGTGGGCATCCCACCACGCGTGGTCCGCGCCCCACAGACTAGCTCTGCTCTCAGCCTCGCGCGCACTACGAGCAGCATGGCGGCATTTACGTCATCGCGAGGAGCGCCTTTAAAATCAGCCGCGATTGCGACTGCGCATCCTGCATCAGTGCTGCGGACAGGACGAGTGCCAGCGGCGCCGCGGCGGCGTTGTGCGCCGCCGCTGCGCGCCAACTTGCTGGGCAACCTCTTTGACATGGCAGCCGCGGCCAATGCTGAAGCGCTGGCGCGCAAGGAGGGCAGTGAGCTTGTGGGCGCCAGGCGCGGCATCAAACCGCTCACCGCTGTCCCGCTGCCGTTGCTACAGAGTCCCGGCAAAGCAGAAGCCTGTGCGTCTGTGCTGGCGCGCCAGGGCTGCCTCGGCGTGCAGGGTGCGCTGTCGGCGACCACTGCAGCAGAGCTGCTGGCTTTTGTGCGGGAGGAGAATTTACGCTGCCAGGCTGACGTGGAGGCAGGCCGCGTCGAGTTCGACGCTCGCTTCGGGGGCGTCAACTGCCGGTGTGTGTCGTGCATTACCAATGGCGCGCAGGTCGTGGGGAAGAGTCCACTTTGGTCTACTGGCATGTGTGGGTGGAGCAGTGGCGGGATGGACGTGCTGGTTGGGCGAGGGAGGTGTTGCAGCACGCAACGCGCTCCGGCCTCTGCTTGCTCCATGCTGCTAGCCTTCGCAAACACCCGCCTGCCCCACGCCCCCTCGCGCACTCCCTCGTGCTCCCTCTCGCTCCCCAGCTTCTCCCAATAACGACCACGCCCCCCTCTCACTCACACCCTGCCCCTTGTCTCGACCAGCGGCCTGCGCGGCCGCTTTGGCCAGCGCCAGGACCTGTTCCTGCCGCTCTCTGCGGCGCCCGTGCGGCGCGCGGTCCGCGAGCTCGTGACCAACCTGGCGCCGCTCTTGGAGGCGGCATGCGGACCAGACGCAGCCCTGCACGAGGTCTCCTGCATTTACGCTGAGCCCGGGGCGCCGCGCCAGTGCGTGCATGCAGACACCATTGTGCTGCCGTGTCCTCAGGTGAGGGAGCAGAAGAGCGGAGAGCGTGGTGCTGGCTGCAGCCTGCAAAAGGGTAGGATAGGATTGATGCACACCGCGCGGTTGCAAAAGCAGCCAGCACGTAGGGTTTCTGATCGGCGCCTGCCCAGCCCTGGAATCCTGCTGCGGCGGCAGACCCCGCCTGCCTCCTCCTCCTGCACAACCCCGCAGTATCCCGATGTGACCATGGCGCCGCTGTACACATTTTTCGTGGCGCTCCAGGACATTGAGGACAGCATGGGGCACACGCAGGTGTGTGAGTGGATTCGGAAGGAAGCATGCCAGGTTTTCAGCTTGGCCAGCGCCAAGATGCTGCTTGATGGTGGCCGCAGCTGCGAAGACTGGGAGACGGCCATCTTCTGCACCCTGGTCTCCCTAGTGAATCTAGACCCCTGCGTCCCTGCCCTTGCCAGTCCCTTGCCAGTCCCACATCCAATCACACGCCCCAAGCACTCCCCACCGGCTCTCTGCACACTGACACCGCTCCCCTCATCTGCGAAACCACGCAGTTCCTGCCCTACACCCACACGCCCGACGCTCACCTGCTGTGGAATGCGGCCGCAAAATCGGGGCAGCTCAAGGAGCGATTCATCTCGCTGCAGCCGGCGATGCAGTCGGCGCTCTTGACAGGCGACGCATCGGTGTTTGACTCGCGCTTGCTGCACTGCGGCTGCGCCAACGAGTCCCAGAAGACGCGCGTGCTGTTCTATGTCACGCTCTCGCGCGACGCTGAGTGGCCGCTGCCCGGCGGCCTGCACGGCAGCAACAGCATTCGCGCCGAGGACCTGCGGCGCTGGAAGCTGCCCGACCTGCTGGCGCTGCAGGAGGAGGCTGTGCTCGTTGGATGAAGGGACTGCCGGAGGGCTTGCGTGATGGAGCGCTGGTGCTGCACCGCCATGTGGCGCCAGCGTGTAAGCCACACTATCCTCAGCTTTGACTAAGTTGACTAAGGGTGATGATATAAAGGCGAACGTTTAGGCCTCAAAGCATGTCGCGCTTTGTCGTGCAGCTCTCAGTGCGTGTTGGTCTCATTGCTCTTGGTGGTAAGGGGGCTGAGGGGAGCTGGGTTGGTTGTGACAAGGCACAACACTCCTGCAGCTTTGCAGTGCGAGGGCGTGCGCAGTGTCACCTGGGGTGCTGCCCTGCCACACAACAAGCAGCTGGCTGACAGCACAGCATGCAAAGTCAGCAGCAGCCAGTGACGCGCTTGCGTTGCAAACTCAGATCAGTAGCGGGGATACGTTGACATGAGCTGTGCTTGGTTATTATTGTATATTGCACACAAGCATCTCCATTTGCCCCAGGCTCACCACACCACCCCGGCCTCAGCACTGCCGTTGTACAAAAAAAAACTGCAGCCCTGTCACCAAGCAACGTTGAGGCGCTACCATGGCCGCTGGGATGTCTGTTCAGTGTGCAGCCACATTGGAAGCACCGCAAACCCGCCAAAATGTACGGTTGGTTCCACATGGTTCCAGGGTGTTTGCAGCAGCGTGGTGGGCATTGACCTCGCAACCCCCAGCTTGCCAGGGCGGATAAAACATCTGGTTATAACTTGGTTTGCCTGTACATTCACCATTCCCCAGTTGTTGCACGATCGCAATCCTTGATGTAATCCGCCTTGCTGTGCTGCTTGATAGGTAACTCCCCTTTCTGTGCTGCTGGACGTCCTTGAACAAAGTACTCAGAGAATGTAGGATAGGATAGGGACCAGCAGCAAACATACATGATGGTGGTCGTTGAATTACGTCACAATTTACGCAACCCACTCAGACAGACTTGCAGAGCCCCGCTGCACAATGAAATGTGCGCTCCAAAAGCGTGACCGCCGCGACGCGGCGACATCCTGCCCCCCAGACCCGGTCTCGCCGCGGCACCCGGCAGCCTCGATCAAAGTCACGCGCGCTCCCCCTTTGGCCCCGCCGGCTTGGGCGGCGGCGGCCGGAACTGCTCCCCCACCGGCCGCTGGACGTAGAGCTTGTCCTCGTCGTTGGTCTTCAGCTTCGGCGGCTTGAGCTGGGTCGCCGCCTTGGCCTTGCCCTTGGAGCCCTGCACGTAGTCGCGCCAGTTGGTCACGCGGCTGTCCCTGTTGGACTCCCAGGCCTTGTGGTTCTCGCGCGCCTTCTTGGCGGTGGCCACGGCCTCCTTGTGCTCCACCTCCACACGCTCCGTCTCCTCCTTGATCTGGGGGGTGGGGGT